GATGGCCCCGCTCATAGGAACCTGGGCAAGGTCTGCACCGAGATGCGGGATCTGACAACCGGGCTTTCTGTCCGACGTCCCCGTGAGAACAAGCCCTCAGCTCCCGCCCTCAGGCCGAACGCCCTCACACCGCCATGACCCTGATGATGAAGGGTGTTCTTCGGCTCTCAAGACTTTAATTCCCATCAGGCCTTGAGCAGCCAGTTCATGTATCAGCTGCTCCTAACCTCTCGCTGCTACCCCCACCTGCAAATTCTGCTGCAAGTGGCCTGCTCTGTGCCCTGCCATGACCGTGCCCACACTATCCAGTCTTCTCTGATTAGAGGCGACTCCGAGCACTACTCATTTCCTGACCCCCGTGCTGTCGGAAATCTACGTAAAACTTTGGCCAACGGCAGGACAGAGGTGGGAAGGCTGCTGGGACCCACAGCACAGGCGCCCCCGCCTATCCCCGTCTGGTGCATGCCCCGGGGCTCAGGTCCGCCCAGGAGAGGGGCCAGGAGGAGAGCACGCGGCCTGATGGGGGCAAGAGAGGAAGGAAGCGTGAGGACGTGGTGAGGAGGTGACACCTCTTCTCTCGCGGTGGCCTGGGGCTGTCCACCTTCTGGTCAGAAGCGGTCCACTGTGTAAACGGAGTGTCGCTGGGCAGTGTCCCCGAGGCACAGGGGACCTGCTCACAGACCAGCCGAGGGAGATGGCCCCGCTCATAGGAACCTGGGCAAGGTCTGCACCGAGATGCGGGATCTGACAACCGGGCTTTCTGTCCGACGTCCCCGTGAGAACAAGCCCTCAGCTCCCGCCCTCAGGCCGAACGCCCTCACACCGCCATGACCCTGATGATGAAGGGTGTTCTTCGGCTCTCAAGACTTTAATTCCCATCGCCTTGAGCACAGCCAGTTCATGTATCAGCTGCTCCTAACCTCTCGCTGCTACCCCCACCTGCAAATTCTGCTGCAAGTGGCCTGCTCTGTGCCCTGCCATGACCATGCCCACACTATCCAGTCTTCTCTGATTAGAGGTTCTCTGATTAGAGGCGACTCCGAGCACCTGACCTCCGTGCTGTCGGAAATCTATGTAAAACTTCAGCTCCCCCAAAACTTAGTTGTCCCTTGGCACCTGCGGGGACCTGTGGATACCAAAATCCTGGGTACTCAAGTCACTAGTATAAAAACGGTGCAGATCAACGCGTACAGTCGGCCCTCAACATCCGCAGACTCCCAACCTCGGAGGGAAGACAGTAAGGCTTTATTTTTAAAAATTTATGTGTAGGTGGGCCCGTGCAGTTCAAACTGTGTTGCTCAAGGGTCGATTGTAGTCATCTTTTCCTGTTTCTATTTGCTCTCTCTAGATTGGAAAATTCTAGAAGCCAAAGACCTTTTTGTATACTGTGCTGCTTGCCGGTGCCTGGCAAGCCCTGGGAAGACGGTGGTCTGAGCGGTGCGGAAGCACACGCTCAGTGAGCTGGTGTGCTCTGCTCTGAGTACGCTGCATGGATTAGTGAGTAACCTTCACAACCATGAGGCAGGTGTGATATCCTCCTTTTCGCAGAAGGAAGCCCTGAGGCAGCAGGAGAGGTTAATAACTTCCAGGATCACACAACTGGCCAATGGCAGGGCAGAACTCGAGGCCAAGCTCTCTAGGCCTGTGCCCAGGATGCCCAAGGTGCTGGCCTGGGGTTAGGGGTACGGAGGCAGGGGTACCAATGCAAGGAGAGCAATGACTGGGAATACCCACAATAAAACATACACAATTCGAACCCACTCCTTTACACGCCCATAAATGTACATTCACGAAGGCAAACCAGGAAAGATGGGCCATGGGCAGGTAACGACCCCAGGAGAGTGGGGTTCCCAGTGACCTTTATTTTCTTTCCATATTTGTATGTGCTGCTTGGTCCTTCAAGGAGCCTGCAGGGCTGCTGCATGTGGCAGAAACATAAACAATGAAGTCGATTACATTACAGGAGAAAAAGTAAAACAAAACAAAATGAAAAGAGAGGAATAAAGAAGGGGAGTGGGGAAGAGCCATCGGATGTTTCCTAACAGAAGGGTGGTAAGCCAGACGGAAGGTCAGATACCGGATGGTTCTATTTATGTGAAATACCCAAATTAGGTGAATCCATAGTCAGAAAGCAGATGAGCAGCTGACAGAACCTGGGGGTGGGGTGATAGAGAAAAATCACTCAGTGGGACGGGCTTCCCTTTAGGGCGATGAGAACGTTTTGGAACTTGGTAGAGGGGATAGTTGCACAACAGTGGGCATGTACTCCATGCCACTGAATTGGGCATTTAAAAATGGCTATGTTTATGTTATATGAATTTACCGCAATTTAAAAAAATCTGGTTAGTCTTTCAACCTACAGTGCTGAGGAAAATGGAAGGAAAAATTAGGATTAAAGAAAAAGAGAGAAAACACCAGCAAATGAGGGCAGCAGGACACCCTAAGTAAGAGGCGAAGGGAGAGCGGGTCCAAGCTCAGTGAGGGTGACCACGCCTGCCCTGCAGCTACCGAGCTTCCAGAGGTGGAACCGTGTCTCCAGGGGCCACCGTGTTCACCCTCCACCTCCCGTTTCACTCCGAAGATCTGAGACACGGGGCTTGGGGAAGCTCCAACGGCAAAACTGAGTAGAAATAGCAAGAAAGGTGGAAGCCAAGTATTCGAATCCTTTATTACTGGATGCAGACCCTGCGGGAGGCCTCCCCAGCTCCAGCCACACCAGGTGGCAATGCGACCTGGCCGCCTCCCCGTAGACTGGGAGCTGCTGGTGGGCAGGGACCGCACCTGGCTCAGGTGTCCCGGCCTGAATCACAGCCCCTGGCACAGAACAGGGGACTGCAAACATATGTGTTGAAGACATGCGTGTCCTCTGTTTTAACAACTGACCTACTAGATACAGCTCAGATACGGTACAGAACTCAAAAGGCTCCCAGGGATATGCCCTGATACATTTCCCTGCCCCCCACCCCCACCCGCTTCTACTCTAGCTCCTCAGGCAACCTCTGGCAAGGTCGCCATTGCTTTAAATGTGCCTCCTACAGTGAAATTCGGAACCACAAAGGCTCGGACAACCAACGGGACCAGCCAGTGACTTGGGCGCCAGGTTATTGCCACAAGATGGCAGCTAAATGCGACATCAAGAGGAAAGTCATCTGGTGAAAACAAGGCTGCCGCATTCCGTGCCAGGAGGAAACATGGGCCCGGGAACGCCACCTGGCAGAGGAATGCTGCTAAGGTGACAGCCGCCCCCCTCAAGTCATTCATGGCATGACGAGAAGCCCGTGGGCAGGGGCCACCAGCCTGTGACTAAGGCAGCACCTCCCGCGGCTCACACCTGTCCCAGACGCAGGCCATTTCAAGCTGGGGAAAGGCCACGCAGCCCCGAGATGGCACGAGAGCAGACCCGTGACCACACTCAGCCCGGGACCCAGAGAGACTTCCAGTGGTTCATCTGGAGGGCAAAGGTTCACCTTCGAAGAACCCCCCATGGGCTAGGGGGCCCTGTCCCCGCAGAGGGCTCCACAGCAGATGCAGGGCGTGGGAACTAAGCTGGCCAGGAGAAGAGGGTCCCAGGAAATCAAAGCACCAGGAGCGGTGACAATCCAGGCCAATCCCAAGCCTGGGCACAGTCCCAGGGGGTGGGGGGTGCGGGTGTAACAGGAACATCAGGACAGACCACTTTATCTAGCTGGATTGTGAAGGGCTTTTGTTGAAGAACGAGTAACCATTGCCCTGTACAGTCACCAAACCGAAGCCTAAATAAAGGTCCAGGCCACACAGGCTCAACTGCTGTCCGTGGCTCCGGGCAACGTGGCCGCGCTCCGCAGGCTGGAGGGCGAGGCGCGCTTATCTGATCTCAGCCGATCTGTTACTGTATTTCATTCCCTGTCCTCCTGCCCAGAGGCCGCTGCAATGTGTATAAATTTAGAAAAAATGAATAACATGGAAAAGTCCATTTTAACCAAATGAGTTGTTTTCTCTCTTTCTTTCTCTTTACTTCACTAAAGAAAAGATAAAATGATCTTATACTTATTTCGCCGCTACCATCGTGGAATCTGGTATTCTGGGCAGCAGCTGGGTTATGCATAACCACAGCGCAAGATGAAAGTCAAGCTTCCATCCCAAATGTTTCTGAGAAACGGAGGGGAGCAGATGACAGCACCTCTCCCGAGAGCGTATGCTACGAGGGTCCCTCTGAACGCAGAGGCAGTTGACGGGAACGCCTGTCCCAGCTCGCGGAGCGAGACCCTGTACCCACAGCTGCCGTTTCGGCAGGAGTCACACAATGATGCTTTAAATCAAATACAGCCCGTTTTTTAAGGGAATTAATATCACAGATGGGTGATTTGGGTTATGGTGGAAATTACACTAAAAGAGAAACTGCTAGAGAAATGCCTGCCTTCCCTCCCACAAACTCACAGCCAGTGGGTGCTGGGACCACTGGTAGGAAGTGACCACCGGTGACTGCCCCCATCTGATCGCTTAGCCCAGTGGTCGGCAAACTGCGGCTTGCGAGCCACCTGCGGCTCTTTGGCCCCTCGAGTGTGGTCCTGAAGTTTCAATCGCACTGTACGTGCTCGCCCGCACGTGGTATTCTGTGGAAGAGCCACACTCAAGGGGCCGCAGTTTGCCGACCACTGGCCTAGCCCCATTTCCATTTCACAGAGGAGCAAACCAAAGCTAAACCCAAAGCCATGTGGCTGCTGGTGACAGGGGTTCAGGACCAGGTCCCTCAGCTGCCCCCGCGCTCAGACCGCCAGCACCCCCACCGCCTGGAAGCCATTGGACTCGAGCGGTACCTCCGACAGCATCTCAAACTGGCCTCTCCTCCCAAGAGCAATGGTCAGCAGGTCATAGACCACCGAGGCGCTCTGCAGACTGATGAGGCGGTCGCTCCTGTGCTCGGGGATCCGGCTCAGCACGGCGTCCCGGTTGGCCTGAAGCAGCAGGGAGGAGAGAAGCAGATGGTGAGCCAGCCGCCCACAGCCTTCACTGTCGGGAGGCCATCTCGGCCTCCTGCCCCAACAGCAGGGTCTGGAGACAAGGGCGGGGATGGGGAAGGGGGTCTGTCACCTCTGGTTGTTTGTTCAGACTCCCCAGAGCACCTCAGCCCGTGGTACAGGGTGTTCTCTAGACTGTGGGGGCCTGGAGGTGCGATCCTGCAGGACACGTGTCCCAGTTGGCAGGTACGTGGAGGGAGATTTAAGAGCCAGTGAGTGCAAAGTGGGGTGATTTCTCCTGGGCTCGGGTTCGCTGCAGGCACAGCTGTGCTCTGGCGCAGCAGGATCCCCCAGCAGGTCAGGCCCTGCTGCTCCTCACTCACAGATCCCGCTCTGCTGTATGTCACCGGCCCCACCCTTCCATCACCAAATGGTGGCATCAAGTTCTATCTGTCCTACAGAGACATGTCACACTTTTCCTCCACCCCGAAGGCAACACTCAGGTCCCTCGGTGACATTCTCGCTGGCAGACTACAAAGACTAATCCGATCTTGTTTAGGGAAGCACAAAGCAGATGTATAAGTGACAGCAAGAAGCAAACAGATTTTTATTTTAAAGACATTACCACAGAGGACTCAAGAGAACACCTGCCTATTTCACATCGCCACTGCTTAGCCAGGAAGACAGCAGGCACATTCAAGCTTGTTAATCTCATCTATCTAGACATCAAAGGCTCCTTATAGCAACCTGTTTTCATTACCTTTGAAATGTAATTTCTCTACAGATTCCTCCAGACAAACCCATGCGAGGAGACTCTAACCACTGGCTCCTTTTCCTCTCCTCCTAACTACCAGAAGTGTCCAGATCTACCGTCCCTGGGAGCACGAAAAGAGACGCCCCAGCTCTTCCTGTGAAAGTGGTCACATGGGACAGGGGGCCGCTTGTCCGGGCAGGCTGATGTCTGTCTTCCTGCCTGACATTCAGAAAGACTACGCACGTGCACCTTCTCTCTCACTAATGAGGCTAAAGGGCTTCTTTTTGTGAGTCTGGGGCATTTGCTTTTAGCCACCCATCAGCACTCACTCACTTTAAAACTCCTCGCTCCTAAATGTCAAAGACAAATAAGAATATATGTCAGGCCACTTCCTTCAAAGTGAGTCATCGCCTATGGAAATAAGCCTGATTCTGAAGATTTTATCCTTAAATTTTTCTTGTTAGGAGTGGCTTTTCAGCCAACAAAAGAAGCCCGGGAGGAAAACAGGGCTTGCTGTAAGTGGTCTCATTTGATTTATTTGCTATAAATGCTCCATGTTGAGACCAACGCCTGGAAGAGAACAAAACAAAATACTATTTAAGAGAAATTTTCAAGTTATGCCAAATGCATTCTTTTTTTTTAATTTTTAGAGAAAGTCTATGGTTTTCTTTTGAATAAAGAGGTACAATACAGAACCTTAAACTGATCCACAAATAATAAAGATCCCGGAGGACTGTATCAGTGTCGGTTGTACAAATATAGTCCCAATGACTCCTTTCTCCTGGGGAAAACTCATTTAATTTGAGGCAAGAAAGCAGTACAATTCCCAATGAGTTCTTGTAGGTGGAGAGACTATGGACAAATGATGCTTCTAAGATAAAGTCAGAACCAACAAAAAATACAATTTTCCCAAGTACCAAAAAAAACAACAACCAGCAATTCTCATTTTGGTTCTGAAAATGAGCGCATTCTTTTTCTGTCCAAAAACAGAAAAATCAAGGAGTCAAGGGACATGAAAAAAGGGGTTTCCAAAAGCAACTTAATTTAGGTTTCTACCTACAAAATCAGGGAATGACTTACAGGGGGAACATAATCATTTTGGTTGGGACCCTCATCCTTCATATTTATTGACGTCACTGGATTTCACCAGCCCCTGAAGGGATTTCCGGAAGTTAAATACCACGGAGACACATCTGACTGTCTCAGAGGGCTCTCCATTTTGAGCCTATGAGTTCCTTGCTTCAGTGAAGGAGCAGGAGAGATGGCGCCATCATCCCCAGGACACAGCATTTTAGAGAGGGGGCCGTGTTTTCCAGATTCCAAACCAATACATGATTGACAATGGAACTCAATATTTCCCATCAGAACTGTCCTCACGCTTCCAGAACTTCTACCATGTAACCAACCAGGTCTGCCCAAGGAAACTGACTGCTAAGTTGCGAAGAGTCCAGCTCCGGGTGCAGGAGTGCCAGCGAGGAGGCCACCATGAGCTGCCCCCATCGAAGAACTGATGACAAAGCACAGTGAGACTTGTCACCGAACGCCGGGGCCAGGCCGTCCCCATGCGTGCCTTCCCCGACTGCGCCGAGGCAGAGGGGAGTGTAAATGACACCGTGCTAAGTTAGCAGCTGACAGTCAGGGAAAGATGAGCCAACGGGGCAACCTGTCTCCCTCGGAGGAAGGCAGGCCAATGACGTCAAAGAGCTTCCAAGTAGAGAAGTGGTAACTCAAGCAGTCTTGCTCTTGTAAACATCTCTGGGCCATTGCACAGAACAAGAAAACCCAAAGCTCTGAACTAAGGAAGCTGTCCTCCCAGACCAAGTCTGGCCCTCCTGACCCCTCCCTCCGGCACGTGGCACACGCACGTTCTCCTGCTCATCTCTAAGCCTTTCTCACCTGCGTGCATTTCAGACCTCCCTTTAAAGCGTGACACACTTCCCTCGCTTCGGCTAGGATTCCTTTTGCTCCTCCCTTGTCCTCCTGCCTGCCAGGTGCGGTGCGGGATGTAGGAGGGGACAGTATGACCTACCGGGAAGACCACTGCATGGGGAATCCAGGCGCCTGCTCTGGGCCCCGGGTTCCCCACATGTAAAATGAGTGAATGGGCATGAGGACCTCTAGGTCCTTTCAAGTCCCAGGCATTGGCCATTCTGCTCAGGTGCCGGGCACACAGTGGCTTCCCAAGGCATAACCACTATAGCACGTATTACGCCTAAAAGATGCAAGCCAGGGCTGTCACGCCTGAAGATATACGGAGTGGAAACCCAATAAATGATGAGCAAGGGAATTCCAGACCTCAGATGTGATATCCTGGCCGAACACGAAGAAAACACTTCGGAGGAATTTAGGGTCTGGCAAAAGCGCCCTCCCAGCAGCAGAGCCAGGTGACAGGAGTGAACCCTCCCGCTGGGCGTGCAGTGCCCGGGAGCAGTGGGAGCTTGGGGAAGGGGCCTGTGTAGAGGCCCAGGCAATTTCATCTGAAAACCAGAGGTTCAAACACACAAGTGATTTCTCTCCAAACTCTCCCTCCCTCCAGGGCAAATCGAGAAGGCTCAGAAAGGGACCCTTGGGGGCTTCCTTCCCCTGGCGAAGATCCCTGGTGGTCATTTTAGCTATAGTTTAACTATAGTATATGCTTGTGTCAGTGTTCCAGCAATACTTGGTGGATAAAGGATAAACTCAGATGCCTACTAATTGCTCGGGGAAGAGAAGCTCCACGCTCCGGGGTGACCAAGGAATGTGCTACCCAGTCCAAGAAGAAACATCCCTCCTTTTAAGCCTCTACTGTGTCTTCCCACCCAGGCATCCCATCTGTTTTTCTCCCAAGGAAAAGGGTCACTATACTGATGCAGTAGCCATATCAAAAAAGGGACTCCAGGAATAGGGAAGGAAAAAAAAAGTAAAAACACATTCTACTTACCATAGATTCACTAATCAGCAATAACAACAGGGCCTCTTCGGTATTTTCTTGAGGACAAAAAATGCTGCATAAAAAAAAAACCAGCTTTGATATATGGCAATCTCAAAATAACACAAAATCCTTGACTATGAGCAGGACAAATGCTAAAAAGCTTTAAGATTTTTATATAGACCCCGTGGAAAGCAGTGTATAATCTGGACACTTGAGTTAATTTGCTTATTTCTATGGTAATCTATGGAATTTGTACGTTCTAACTATACATTTTAATAGCCGGCAGCAGGATGAAGTAAAGCTGTAAAAACCAATTTGAAAGTCCAAATAACATGTAAGCTTGTGATAGAAGCAGAAATGTAGATGGCTACAAACTGACATTATCTTCCTAGCTTTCTCCTCAACGCGTTATGGAGGTGTGATTGCAGTACTCTTTTTTACCTCTTTCTTGCTAACTGGCATATCTTATATTGTCCTTAAGATGAAATAAGAGATTGGAAGGAATTTTAGAGTTTGAATAATTTCTAGAATTCTGTAAGAATGTAGTGAGCTATCTTACTTAACCATGTGTTTTATTATGGGGTGGCATGCAAGATCTAGCTGTCTTATTAATCAGTTTTATGGAATTTGGCTGAACTCTGACATCTTGGATTTTAGAAAAAGCTCTTAAGCACAATGTTGTTCAGGAATAGAGAACAATAAAAACTAAATAGAACCCAAATATGCATTATCTATATCCTATATTTTATGCTTTGAGCATTTAAAAACACGTATAGCATTCCCCCCCCCGCAACCCTTCAAACCCCTCCCCTAC